TGAAAAAAAGCAAGAGACGGATGTGTATACAATAAAAACCATGTCGTGAAAAACCAAAATGTCTCCCAATTCAAAGTCATTAGGCCAGTAAGTCACATTTTTGGAAAAAAAGGATGTGCGTGGCTATTTTACTCATCCAACAACCACAAAAGCTAAATAAATCATGATTAAAGTGTGTTAATTCAATTACATAAAATGTGAACCAGAAATAACTTCACCGCACAAAGTCTTTTCTTTCATGGAAATAACCTCTTGTAAATCATTCACGACAAAGACATAATTACGTCTTGCGGGATAAGTTGAAGTCTCATGTCTGTGATACTGCAGCAATCCATAAGGTTGTTATATGAACATCCGGTGCACCACAAAAGTGACTGCAGATCGGCACTGTGCTTCCGAAAATCAATGAGTCGTATGGAAATAACTTTGTCACCACAAACAATGCCGGCCATTGTAAGGTATCATTTCCCATGCTTTTTTGCAAGAAAATATGACTTCTACCTGCTAGAATGCCTTTGCTAATACCAGAACTTTGCTAAAACAATGAAAATTCTTATTCCTGTCCTTTCATCATTCGTGAATAGGATGGATGAACGTATTACAGTCAATTTTCACAACCTTATGTACTCAGCTTACAGTTCATGGACACGACCAGTCTTAAATTAACCCTTGACTTTCCCTTTTCCATGACAAATCAACACTTTTTGTCTACTTGTTCTTCATTTTTCATACAATCAGAGACAAAACACTCTATAAAAAGTAAAAAGTGTCCCCCTTTAGTTCCATAAAATACTGCTAAAAATACGCACATTTTCTTTGAACAACCCCCCCCCCCCCCCCTCGACTTTCCGCGTGTATCTTTTCTCTCAGTTTATCAGCGGCATTCACTGGATGTATTGACACCAAGAATATGATTTGATTTCCATTCTTTTTCTCCCTAAATACATCTAGAACAGTACCTCAGAAAGACGAACTTTTAGGAAAGACTCACATATATATATATGTGTGTGTGTGTGTACTTGTATGCGTGTAACCATGTTTTTGATGAATATTATGTAAAGTGCATAGAGCAATGAATGTAACGCTGATTTGTGCGGTAGAAGCTTAAATGTCATTTTATTATTATAACTGGGGGGGGGGGGGGGGTCAAAATGTCTAAAGAAAGATGTAAGTGAAGAGCCCCTTTATACAATCATGTACCATTCTGGCGAGACTTTGCAACTTTTTAAAGCTTATTAAAAATCAACTGTAGACTTGTATATATAATATATCATATTGTCAGCATGATTTTATCATGACCCAAATTAATTTATTGGGGTTTTTAGTTTTTAGTTATACTAAAATTTTACAACACTTGCTGCCCAATAAGGTTATGATGCCAAATTATGGGGAGTTATAGATGTAAAGCCATTATTTGAATGAAATAAGTAATAAAGTAAAGGGACACCGTACCTTTTTTATTTTTATTTTTGGTAAGTGTTTTATAGCGCTCACAACTACATCTACCTTATATCTCTGTACAGTCGAACCTGTGTAAAACGGCCACCCATTGTCAAGGAGAAAAGTGGCCGTATAAGACAGGTGGCCGTCTTAGGCAGGACTGATCACGATGAAGAAAACAAACCATTCCTTTCTGAGGTCCCAATCGAAAGTAGTCGCATTGTTATTGTTGTTGATATTGTTGTTGTCAGGGTTGGGTTGAATTAAATCAACTTGATTTTTAAAATAAAAATCAGTGATTTAAATCACTTTTTAAGAAATTTATTTTTATTCAGTTGTTACACATTTCAACATTCAAAATTCCTTTCCTTGGTTTCATAAAACAGATGTAAGGTTTAGTAGACTAATACAGTAGTCTCCGCCTAAGATCCCGGTGCTCGGGAGCAAGGAAATGCGGGATCTTAGGCGAACCGGGATCTTAACCGATGAACGCAGGGAAGAATCTATGTGACCCATAACGAGCAAAGAGTGGTTAACCTTGGTGAACTATCACAGTGCCGTTTTCACTTTTTATCCTATCATGAGTCTCAAAATCTATCCCCCTTACCTGTCGAAAATTTATAGCTTTCCATCTCTGACTGAGTCCCCCCCCCCCCCCCAACCGCCTTTGTCGTTACACACCATTACGTTATGAACACACCGATTAAAATTCAGTCTGTCTCGCAAATTCGGGAGTAGAGACAACTTCAGCAATGGTCAGGGAAGAGTTCACAGTTCAATGTGATCCCGCCTGGAGCGAACGTGTAGGCCATGCCCACCCAGCGAGTGATGTAAGTTTAGGGGGAGAGCTCAGGTGTGAGTGCGATGCGTGGGGAAAACAAACGTGTCGATCAGTTCACACCCCAGTGTGATCCGGTCTGGGGCAAACATTGTATCGCTTCATCGAGTTTTACAACGGTGTATGTGATCGCATTCACGATAGTGGCTGATCTTTGACGCGACAGACAGTTTATTGACCTCAACTTTTCACTCTTGGTTGATCAGCTGTCCCGCCCAGGTTTTTGTTCAGCAAATTATGATCTTAAATGCAGGATCTTAGCCGAATGTAGACCTTCAGAGTGAATCAGAGCGGGATCTTAGGGGTGACTTTTGAATAGTAAAAATTCTGTTTTCTTAAAACAGCAGGATCTTAAGCGAACCGGGATCGTAAGCGGTGGGATCTTAGGCGGAGACTACTGTATAATCATGCTTAAAAAAGTCTGCTTTCCCCCTTTTAACTGTAAAATAATCAGTATTCAATTTACTTTTTTTTCCATAATTGAAATTAGAGCTGGGTTGATTTAAATCAGCTGATTTTTTAACTTTTAATCAACTTGATTTTTAAAAAAAATCAGTGATTTAAATCACTTCAAAAAATGTATTCAGTTTTTACATATTTAAACATTCAGAATTCCTTTCCTTGGTCTTATTAAACAGATGTAGGTTTAGGAGACTAATATAATCATGCTTAAAAGTCTGCTTTCCCCCTTGTCACTGTAAAATAATACAGTTCTCAATTTACTTTTTTTTATAATTGAAAACCAGGGTTGGGTGTTGATTAAAATTTTTTTTTATGAACTTGATTTTAAAAATAAAACTCAGTGATTTAAATCACTTTAAAAAAATGTATTCTGTTTTTACATCTTTAAACATTCAGAATTCCTTTCCTTGGTTTTATAAAACAGATATAAAGGTTTAGTAGACTAAAATAATCATGCTTAAAAATGCTTTCCCCCCTGTCACTGTAAGTAGTAAAATAATACTGTATTCAATTTACTTTTTTTAAATAATTGAAATTAGCATTTTTTTTTCTTTTTAGACAAACACAAGCGCGCGCGCACACACACACACACACACTGTAATAAAATGCAAGTTTATCTTGCATAATTACCCCCCCCCCCCCCCCCTTCCCTTTAGACTGACATTTTCTTCATTTTTTGTCTGTAGCTGTAAAATTCACTGATATAGCAGATTAAGGCTTTCTAAAATTGCTGTTGCTTAAATTAATCATTAGTTAAAATAAAGACAATGCATTTTGCACTAAAAGAACTTACTTTTAGCCACCAAAAATCCCAAACTGTGTCGACATAAATTTTAAAAAATAAATAAAAAATGTCCGATTTAAATTTAAAAAAATCTGATTTAAATTTAAAAAATTGATTTTAAAAATTTTTATTTAAAAAAAAATAATCACCATCCCTGGTTGTTGTTGTTTTGGCTGGAGAGGGGGGGGGGGGGGGGGGTTCTTTTGTTGCTGCTTTTGTGCAAGGGTGACAATAAAACGAAATGGACCGTGTGCTATGATAAAACAAACACACAGGTTGCCACCACTCGGAGAACGAGCGACGCTTTTGTAACAAGTTCATGCTGACTATGGAGGCCAGTCCCAATGAATTCGAGCTAACCATGTTATTCTGTGTATATACAGTCGAACCTGCCCTGACGGCCACCTCTATAAGACGGCCACCTGTACAAACGCCCACTTTCCTTTTCCCCCCTTGCGTTTTTTTCTATATAATTTAACTGTGTAAAATTTACTTTGTTACAGACTGGGTAAACAGTGACCACTCATCTCATTTACGATTTGTGTATGAGTTCTGGGCTGGGCTTATGGGTTATGAGGGATCACACGCTTACCTCATAAGCAGCTGAAAATTAGTTACCTATTGGTCAACAGTGGGAGGGGCCTACGCAACATGATCCATTGGAGGGACTACCTTGGAACATGCGCAGAAATAACGGCAGGTGATAGGATTATGACGGCTCGCCCACAATGCCAGGGACCAATGCACAATTTATGACAGAACGTGATGGAGTCACTAAGGTGGCCGTCTAAGACAGGTGTTATTGCTTAGTGTGATAGGGGTTGTGTGTTAAAATATGGTGGCCGCGGCCGCATTGGACAAATGCCCGTTTTACACAGTTAAATTATATAGAAAAAAAGCAAGGGGGAAAATGGAAAGTGGTCGTTTGTACAGGTGGCCGTCTTGTAGAGGTGGCCGTCAGGGCAGGTTCAACTGTATATACACAGAATAACATGGATAGCTCGAATTCATTGGGACTCATCTCGGTAGTTTGAGGGATCCTCCGTTTGAGTGATATCTTACAAAGATAAAGATGAAGAAAAAAAAGGGGCTACAGGCACAATTCGACAGATGCATGATTTTGAGTCTTCTGTGTTTGACCTATCCATGTTATACGCTATTATTGTTTTGTTCTGTTTCCATGTTAGCTTCCTAGGTTTTAATTGAAAAATAATATGCCCAACCATAGCTCTGATTTGTAGGGTCTCTCTTTTTTTAATTTTCTGAAAACTGCAAAATATGCTTTAGATGCATGTTGATTGATGCTCTTGGTAGGCAGGATAAAATCAGGTAGTTTCGGGTGGGTGGGGGGTACTTTGTTGACACTCAAGAAAAGAATGGTAGGTCAAAGAAAATTTCTGTATTTATGATTTGTAAATTGTTTTGTATTGATGCTATTTTCAACTGTGCTCAAATAGTTTTTTGTCTTTTTTACAGCATCAAGCTGCAGTACTTGATCCGGAATGCCACCACCACCACCACCGCCTCCTCCCCCAGCCCCAGGTCCCCCTCCCCCACCTCCAGCAGGATTTGGAGGAGGGAAGAAGGGAGGTGGAGCACTAGACCGCGGTGCATTGCTCAGTCAAATTCACGGAGGAGCTAAGCTAAAGAAGGCTGTCACAAATGATCGCAGTGCTCCTCAGCTTGGTGGAGGTATGCATAAACAACATACCTTGGATTGGGGGGGGGGGGGGGGGGGATGATTGCAATAGGGAAATCACTTTCTATAGTCTATTTCTTTATTTGTATCTAAATCTTAAATGCCTTTTCCTAATGCAACTGCAGCTGGGATCTCATGCGAAGGAGTAAAAAAGTAGATGAAAAGTGCAGGATAACGAGGAAAAACCATTTTATTTTAAGGATTTCGAACAATTAAAAATCTCTCTATGGCATTTCATTGGCACACTTAACAGTTACTCTATTTTTATAATTTTTACATCATTGATACCTTCAGTATTAAGCAAAAGTAATTTTACCCTAATATTAATATATCGATTTTAAATTGCATTTCATAATAATACTGTTTAGCATTTATCAATGTTGGGCTCATCCCCAATTAAAGTGCACAGGCTCTAAGCGCTTAAAATACAAAGTAACTTATATAAAGTACATTGTGTTCTGACCAAAAGAAAAATCTCTCTGTAACAGAAATGACTTTAGCTGACATTTGAATGCATGAATAAAGGATTGGATCTCTCTTCTTAAACTACTGAGCAAAGTAAAGCATTCCAGATCTTGGGGCCTTGATATCGAAATGCCCTGTCACTCATTATTTTAGGTTTCATAGATGGCAAAAGAAATTTCCTTTTGTCAACTGACGACCTTAAACTGCAAATAGGAATGTACATTTTCAACAGATTAAAAAATATAATGGCGCTTTATCATTCGAGCATTTGTAACACAGAGTGGCCAACTTGTACATAATTCTTTTCTCAACAGGAAGCCAGTGCATTGTCCATAAAAGAGGTGTAGCAGATTGTCATTTGCTTTTCTGTAAAACTAAATGTGCAGCATTGTTTCGGACAGTTTGAAGTCGTAACAAGAAGATAAATAATCAAGTTAAGTAGTTTGCGCCTAAGATCCCACCGCTTACGATCCCGGTCGCTTAATAAAATTAAGATCCCGCTGTTTTAAGAAAACAGAATTTTTTGTATACAAAAGTCACCCGTAAAATCCCGCTCTGATTCTCTCTGAAGGTCTACATTCGGCTAAGATCCTGCATATCGTAATTTACATGATTTTTGGCAGTTGATGTTCTTCTTGCCTCTCCTCAGGCTCAGATCAGGATTCATTTTGAATTTTGTATTTTTGGAGCAAAACTAGTTAAAATTGTCTGTCATACCTAAGTCACAAGGACTTATCAGTGTCATATCATATGTTAGTGTCGAAAAATATGTTTTAGTATAGTTTCTATTGGTATGGGCTAGGAGTTTTTGAAGTCAGTTTGGCAGTCAATTCCAGATTCAATACTGAATTCTGGAATAAGGCTTTTCATCCCACTTATCTGGAGAAGCGAGGGTTTCTGAAGGGCTATCTTGAATTGCTCCACCCAATCGGCTGGCATATTATATCTAATAGTGACCTTCTCTTTCACATTTGCCATGTCTCTTTCGCATTCCATGTAGCTGTGGCCTCTCACTGGAAACGAGATTTTCATTATTTTTTTTTGGTGCCTTTCCTGGTGAACAACAACATGATGTAGAACCTGCCGTCCAGTTCTTGTTCTGGCGTGCGCCCTAGTCACATCAGCTGGCAGAATGTGTAGAAAGTAATCTAGCAGCATGCGGACCACATCGTATCCACCCTTTTTGTCAACTGTCTTGTAACAGTACAGGTGTACTGTTTCATCACTTAGAGAGTAGAGATATTAAAGGAGAAGAGAGTTACCAGCCAGCAGTTGTACCAAAAATAGTTTGCTGAGAAGTTTGGGCAGCCCATGTTTTAAAAAAAATAAGAGGTTAACGCAACATGGGCGTAAGATGAATGATTTTCCCAATTTGCAGCGCGTATAAGATCAGTCAGGGGTTCGGGCCTTGAGCAGCTCGGTCCACTTTGTGTCCTTGGGAGAGGCACTTTACATGAATTTATTATTTGGCTCGGTCCTTTCTGGGATGGACGAGCGGATTCAAGTGGGTGGTTGGCAGGTGCTCTGGTGTGGTTTGCTTCTTTTTTCTTATCAAACATCTATTGTCCTTATCTTCCTCCTTTTTTGTGTTTGTTACTTTCTTGTGTAACATCTCTAATCTTCGACACTTATTTGACCTTATTGTGTTGTAAGTACTTTAAAACTCTTGAAAATGAGAGAGAAATTAAACTCGGAGGTCCCGCCTCTTAAAGAACCTAATAGTGTTAATAGGGGCATTAAACCTATACCATTTCACCATCTTTCTCTGAAATATATGGTCACCGATTGGTCACAGGGGATGCAACAAAGAAAAGTATGCTTTTTTGTGTTTTACGGCGCTCACAACTGCATACGGTCATGTGAGGTCGTATATAATTTTTGATAAATTAAACTGTAACCAAGAGACCAACATTTATTTGATTATGTCTAAAATTTTCTGACCTCTTTGACAGAAATGTGTTTTTAAATCGACATTTAAAGGTGTTTTTTCATTTTCATTATATTTTGATACGGGTCTGATCTCACCATGATGCACCTCATTGATTTCTTTATTCAATGCGTATTTTTTTTTAAGGCATTGAAGTGAATAACCCCAAAAATTCTGAAGAGTCTAAGGAAAAACGGGCAAAGTAACAAACTGGAAATTGTGAGGGTGTCAATTTTAAAAGCTTGTGGACTCATGATAATTTCATATTTAAATTGTTTGACTGGTGGTTTATTGTTATGTTTACTGAATGGGAAATCTAACAACAATAATCAACTAACAGCTGAATAGAAATACAGAACTAGGAGTCAACAAGTGTTCAAAATTGATACTCTTACGATTTTCAGTTTGTGATTATAGGGATGCTACCCCCAGTGGGTCAGGGGGATATAAATAGACCCATTGCTTCGTCTGCAGGAGGTGCAACCCCTTCAAAGACGAGGTGTCGCACACGGACCCCAACCTTCTGGAATCCGGGTTCGACACCGAATTTTGTGTATCTTCTTTTTCTCCTTCCTTCTTTCTTTCTTCTTCTATCTTTTCTCCCGTCGCTGACCTCATGTGCAGCAGAAAGAGAAGTCACCCATCCCACAGAGTGGGCGCCTTGTTGACCGTGAGGTGCGACCCGTGAGGAGGGAAACCGGGTACCTGGCGGTTGAGGTGAGATCAGTCTACGGACTGTCCCTCGCCAAACACACCGCTTTGGCCCAGGTTTTCCTCTTAGATGGGAGGGTTGCACGGCCCATGCCACTCAATCGGTTGAGAGCTGAAATCCCTTCAAGCCCTGGGTCAATCTTGACGGGAGGGTCTTGTGCACTCTCATGAAGAGTATAGCCCTGGGGTAGCCCTGGCACAGCTCTGGTCATCCGAGCTATGTGCCCCCTTGTTGGACTCAGTGGCGGGTGGGGAGCCCCGGAGTCGAAACACCATCCAAAACACATGGAAACCTCAAAACCAAAAGACCCTTCCCCTGCTCCCAACGGATAAAAGTCTCGGCTCGAGAAAACATGTAACAAACGGGAAAAGGACCTTTACCGCTGCCTCTCTCCTCCCTTCTCCCAGGGAGCTTCCGAAGCAGCTGTACGTGGCCATCAGCAGTAAGAAAGACGCACAGAAGAAGATTGCTGATCTGAATCTTTTCAAGAAGGGAGCTGCACTACAACAGGTTCTGGAATACATTCCTACGAATATCCAGAAGTTGTCCTCTGGTGTACTCCTCGTCAAGAGCGCAACTGAGACTGAAGTGGCCAAACTCCTGAAAACCACGACCTTTGGCAGTATTCTGTGTACTTCCGAACGATACCAGAAGTTGAACTGCTCGAAGGGCGTTGTCCGCAGCCATGAACTTAAGGGCTGCAGCATGGAGGAAATTGTGGCAAACTGCGAAGGTGTGACCCACGCCGCCGGATTACTCTTCGGCGGAGGGAGACCACCCTCGAAACTAACATGGTCATCCTTACCTTTGATTTGTGTCACCCTCCAGCCACCGTTTGGGCATCGTACTTGGTCTTACACGTTCGACCCTATGTGGCGAACCCTCTGGGCTATTTCAAGTGTCAGAAGTTCGGCCCTAGTCAGTCGAGATGCCGACACGCAGCCGTGTGTCCTCGTTTGGCAAGACTGGGCATCCTGAGAAGGAATGCAAGGCTAGTCCTTGTTGCCCAAATTGCCATGGCCAGTTATGACCCCGGTCCCTGGCCGGTCATTCGCAAAGGTAGCACAGGAAGCCACGAGGTCGGCAAGTTTTTCTTCCTCTGACCCCCCAAAGCCCGCGGTCAACAGGCATGTCTATGTGCCTAAAAATAGAAAGGTTCTTCCTTCCCCTGTGGTACAGTCCATCGAGATACCACTGACAAACCGCTTTGAGGTTCTAGGGGAGGACAGGGTGGATTCTCCCTCATCCCCCACTCCTTTTCCCCCCCTCTCCTATCCCTTCTTCTTTTTCTTCTTCCACCTCACACCTCTGATGGATGTGGCGTCGGTAGCCTAGTGGTTAGGCTACCGGCCTCGTAATCGTGAGATGGCGGATTCGGGGGTTTGAGCCTCAGTTCGGTCCGACGTCGTGTCCTTGGAAAAGACACTTTACACGAACTTCCCATTTGGCTCGGTCCTATCAGAGATGGACGTTAAACTAGAAGGTCCCGCCTCTTAAATAACCTAATAGTGTTGATAGGGGCTTAAAACTCATACCATTTTTTCACCTCTGATGGAGCGTTACCCCCAGTGGGTCAGGGGGATATAAATAGACCCACTGCTTCGTCTGCAGGAGGTGCAACCCCTTCAAAGACGAGGTGTCGCACACGGACCCCAACCCTCTGGGACCCGGATGCGACACCTACTTTGGTGTATCTTCCTCTTCTCCTTCCTTTTTTCTTTCTTCTTCTATCTTTTCTCCCACCGCTGACCTCATGTGCTGCAAAAAGAGAGGTCACCCATCCCACAGAGTGGGCACCTCGTTGACCGTGAGGTGCGACCGTGAGGAGGGAAACCGGGTACCTGGTGGTTGATGTGAGATCAGTCTACGGACTGTCCCTCGCCAACACA